CTTGGCGCCTGGGCTGCCTGCCCTGCTGGTTTTCAGTCTTTCCTCGGTTATGCAGATATGAGAAGGACGACAATGACACCGACAATGACACCGAAGCAATTAGCGGGTGTTTCTGGTCACAGTTGAATTTTTTTAATAAGTAGGTTGATTAGTTGAGGTCAGGTGATGTTTACGTAATGAGAAACAAATAGCATCTTTCTTGTTTTGCTTACACAAATCATTTCCATGGGTTCGACTCCCAGAACTGCGCGTGTGCTATGCACTGGGAGAGATGGCCCAGGAGAACAATTTCATTTGTGTAACTCCTTTTTTTTTTTTTCTTTTTTGGGAGAAGGTTTTTGCTATAGGGCGCATGTGCTCGCTAGAAAGACAGAGAGAAACAGAGAGACAGAAAGCGAGAAATCACCTCCTCAGGGAGGATGGCCACGCCGCCATCCCTTCTCCAGTTTCCTCTCGGGATCTTGGGCAAGAACACCCACGCGCCCGGCGTGAGTTTAAGCCACCGGGTCTAGGACTCAAACTGTGGTCGACTACACGAGAGTCCAGCGACATAGCCATCACGCCATCCACTGGTCCCAATAGAGAGCATTTAAAACATGGATTACCTGGGCGGGACCCATAGCCTAGCGGTCAGGAAACCAGATCCTCCATGGCTGACTGAGTCACAGCCTCGACATCTTGAAAAACCAGGCCTGTGTGTACCCAAATCCCAGCAGGTAGAGAGGAGAACGGCTTGCAGCATAACCAGGCCCACTGTGCTGTGGATGCCTTCTCCCTCTCTCTGGGCCTCTCTCTGGCAACACACGCAGCCTCTGACAAGGTTTTTGTTTGTTTGTTTTTTGGTTTTTTTTTCAGAGGCAATTACTTAATTATTCAACATGTGGAGAACCCACTAGTGGCTGTGTTTGCTGCGATGACTGCACAGCATCAGGCATGAATTGCCTTTTCCTTCCACACTGCGAGGATCAAGGGTTCAACTACAGACGCTGAGGACACCCCAGATAGTATCTATAATTGCACTCAAGTTGGTGGTGCCTCCAGGCACCTGGCAGAAGCCAGCGCAGGGACCTTGGAAAGGGAGAGGCCAGCGACCATGTCTAACCCGCTTCAACACACACAGAAGACGGGATCCCTGCAGCACAGAGGAGCAGTCGCAGCAACACAATCCGTGCTCCCGACTCACACGATCCCACACCAGGTTTTTGATTCAAATAGCAGAGCTTTCTTTCTTTCTTTAATAGGAAAAAAAACGCGAGTCATTATTGGGACTACGTGATATCAACGGATACCTGCATCTGTGTAGGTGGTTACAATGGAAGATGAGTTTCTTACCGGAAGTTATACAAAGATCTTAACTGGGAAATACACAGAGCAATGGGGCCAGAGGGTAGCATGGTGGTTAAGGCACTGAATTCCCACATGGATGACCACAGTTCAAGTCCCAGATCCAGTGGCTTGAAAATAGCCATGGCACCAACTGCGGGCCCCAGCATGCTGCAGACTTTCTTATCAATGGTGCAGTAGTCTAAGGTTAAGAGTTCTGGATCCCAAGTGGCTGCCCATGGCCCTAGCAGCTTGAAAAAAAAAAACACACCAAGCACGTGTCCCTGTGTACCCCAAATTCTGACAGGGTGGAGAGAGAGACAGGATTCCAGCATGACTGCGCTCCACTGAGGAGGTGCTTCCCCTCTCCCTTCTCTGGCTCTCTGGCAAATACATTAAGTTGCTGGAAAAGTCGGGATGTATTTTTCTGTTTTTCTGTACAAAAAAAATGTCACGACTTTTACGACAACCCAATACATGGTCTCTGGCAATTAAAAAATAAAGGTGGGGAAAGAAGGTAGCGTGGTGGTTAAGGCGCTGGACTGCCACATGGTTGGCTGCAGTTTGAGTCCCAAACCCGATACTTTACTTCCTCACTTTCTCTCTTCCTCTCTGGTGAGCACACATACTCTATAGCAAATTAAGTAATAATAATAAATTAAATTTTAAATTATTTTAAAATAAAGAAATAAATAAGGAACAAGCTAGAGTATCGTATCGTGATTAAGATAGCTGGATCACGGGACCAGCAGTTGGTGTAATGGCTACATCACTGGACTCCCATGTAGTAGACCACGGTTCAAGTCCCAGACCCGGTGGCTTAAACTCATGCCAGGCGTGTGTGCGTGCATGCCCAAGATCCTGAGAGGAGAATGGAAAAGGGATTGTGGCGTGGCCATCCCTCTTGGGGGGCGATTTCCCACTTTCTGTCTCTTTGTCTTGTCTTTCTGGAGAGTGCACATGCTCTATAGCAAAGAAAAAAAAAAAAAAAAGAAAGAAACTCTCCAAAAAAAAGAAAAAGCTACAAAAAAAAAAAAAGTTAGCTGGATTCCACATGGTGACAGTGCAGTTAGTCTCAAATCCAGTGACTCGAAAAACATGCTGGGTGGGACCAGCAGACGGTGTAATGGCTATGTTGCTGGACTCCCACATAGTCGACCACGGTTCGAGTCCTGGACCTGATGGCTTAATCTCACTCCAGGCACGTGTGTGTGCGTGCCCAAGATCCCGAGAGGAGAAGGGATTGCAGCCTGGCCATCCTCCTAGGGGGTGATTTCTCACTGTCTGTCTCTCTGTCTCTGTCTCTATGGTGAGCGTCTGCACACTATAGCAAAAACTTCTCAAAAAACAAAAATAAAAAAGAAAAAGAAAAAGAAAAAGAAAGAGAAACATGCCGGACGTGTGTACATGTGCGCCCAAAATCCCAAAAGGGGAGGGAAATGTAGGAAGGGGATGGCGGCATGGCCACGCCACACGGAGAGTACACGCTCCTCCGTGTCTCTCTCCTCTGGTGAGGAAAGGCACCCTCTGGCAAATTAATAAATAGAGAACTAAATACATGGAACTCCACCGTAGGGAGTCTTTGCTCCAGGGTTCCTTCAGCGAACGACCTGTGCTGCATCCCTGCTGCAGGTTTATCAACATTTACTTTCTCTTCGTGGGGTCGTCTCCACTGCATGGAGGGAGCAGTGTACCCAGCGGATTTGCTCCCAAAGCTTGGTGACAATAAAACAGCTGTAGGGGCCAGCAGGTGGTGTGGTGGTTAAGGTGTTGGATCCCACATGGACAGTTTCATGGTTTGACTCTCAGACCTGGCAGCTTGAAAATCATGCAGGGAGGCCAGCAGGTGGCATGGTGACTAAGGCAGGCATTGGACTCCCACATGGCCGACCACGGTTGGAATCCTGGACCTGGCAGCTCGCTTTTTTTCTCTCTCTGGAGAGCATGCTCTATACCAAATTTACCCCCCCCCCAAAAAAAAAAAAAATTCTATTTAAAAAGGGGGGGAAGGGATCAGCAAGTGGCTTGGTGGTTAAGGCGCTCGACACTCCCATATGGCTGACCGTGGTTTAAGTCCCAGACCTGATGGCTTGCTTCCTCACTTTTCTCCTCTCTGTATATCTGTCTTTCTCTGGTCAAATTAAAATAAATGAATAAATAACATTAAATAATTCTTTTTTTAAAAAAAAAGAAAAAATCACACTGGGCATGTGCACAAGAAAACAAACGAGGGATTGTGGCGTGCCCAACCCCCTGAGGTGATTTCTCACCTTTTCTTTCTGTCTCTCTCTGAAGTGCATGTGCCCTAGCAAAACAAACGAACAAATAAACTAGCTGTATTTTGTGAATAGGCTTTTGTGTGAATATACTGTTTTCACTTCGTTTGCATAAACCTTCAGGAGTGTGACTGCTAAGCTGCTTGCAAGTCCAGTCCGACTTTGGTCTGAAGTGACGGGACCATTTTTATTCCTATGGCAGTGTCCGAGATTCCACGTGCTCATCTTCATCGGCATTTGGAATTTTGTTTTAGCCATTCTTTTTTTTTAAGCTATTTTTGCTGTAGGGTGCATGTGCTTGCTGGAGACAGAGACAGAGAGAGAAAGTGAGAAATCGCCCCCAGGGAGGACGGCTGCACTGCAATCCCTTCTCCTCCCCTCTCTTGGGATGTTGGGCGCATGCGCGGGCACCTGACTTGTTTCAAGCCGCCAGGTCCAGGATGGAAACCACGGTCAGCCACATGGGAATCCAGCACCTTAACCACCACGCCACCTGCTGGCTCCTTAGCCATTTTTTAAAAAAGTTTATTTCTCGGGCCAGCAGGTGGCGTGGTGGTTAAGGGCCCCGGACTCCCACATGACAAACCGTGGTTTGAGTCTCGGACCTAGTGGCCTGTGTTCTCACTTTCCTTCTCTGTCTCACTCTGTCCCTCTCTGGTCAAATTAAAATAAATAAATAAAGTTAAATAAAATAATTTTTTTAAAAAAGAAAAAGTTTATTTCGCCCATGAGAAAGAGCAAGAGAAAAGCCCCCAACAGAGTCCCGGTGGCACAACTGAACCCAGCCAGCTCCAGATCATGGGCACACGCATGCCCAGTGCCCTCAGGGAGGCTGTGAGACACCAACCCAGAGCTGCCCATGTGGGTCTTCGCTGCTCTGCCTCCACTCAGCCCCATTTTCTAGCCATTCTCTTGATAACAGATGGGTAGCAGTGTCTTGCGGTTTCCAATTTTTAAAAAAGATCTATTTATTTCATTCACGGTCATATGGATGTGTGCATGAGGGGAGAGACACCCTAGACAGGGTGTGGTCACACTGTGCGCTTTCCCTGACCAGCTTTTCAGGATTGTGGGCACACATGCACATGTTCTGAAGTACACCGGGATCAACCCACAGCAGACCGCATGGCCTTCAGCTCTGCAGTGCAGTCTGCTACTGACTGTGCCAGCAGGCTGGGCTCCATGGTATTTGTTATTTTGTTCTTTTAAAGAATTATTTTTATATAACTTTATTTATCCATTTATTTATTTATTTTAATTTGACCAAAGAGGGATAGAATGAGAGAGAGAGAGAGAGAGAAAGTAAGCACCAGGCAGGTCTGGGACTTGAACTGCGGTTGGTCATGTGGGTGTCTAGCGCCCTTAACCACCAGGCCACCTGCTGGACCCATGGTATTTGTTTTTAATTTGCCAGCAGAAGTTGCACTCACCAAAGAGCACCCCACCATGGGGCAGTCAGGCCACAGTCCCTTCTCCCTTCCAGGGTTCTAGACACACATACACATGTACCCAGTAGGTTTTCCAAGCAACTTGGTGACCCTGCTTTCAAATTTTTTTTTTAAAGAGATTTTTGTATAGGGCATGTGTGCTCACCAGAGAGACAGAGACAGAGAGATAGAAAACAAGAAATCACCTCTCAGGGGGATAGCCACACCACAATCCCTTCTCCTCCATTCTTTTCTCAGGATTCTATGCACATATGCACATGCACCTGGAGTGTTTCAAGCTATTAGATGCAGGATTTGAACAGGGGTTAGGCATGTGGGAGTCTACCACCTTAATCACTATGTCACCTGCTGGCCCCTTCAGTCCAATTCTTAAGAATGCCTGGTTAAATATACTTATGGCTCAATTTTATTCATTTGTTTATTTTTTAAAAATACTTATTTTATTTTATTTATTCATTCACTTATTTCAATTTGACTAGAGAGAGACAGAGAAACAGAAGAAAAGGGAGAAAGCAAACCACCAGGTCCAGGACTTGAACCGTGGTCAGCCATGTGGGAGTCCAGCACCTTAACCACCATGCCACCTGCTGGTCCCTGATACTCAATTTTATTGCTAAAAATTGTCCTCTGGAGTGAGAGCAGCTCTCGTCCTCGGCCACCCCTCCAAGGTTCCTGGGAGTGTGTCTGTTACTGTGGAGGGAACAGAGGGCCTGCGGACAGGGTGAGGCGTACCGTGGAGAGCAGGGGGTCACAGAACACGCACACACGCATGCACACACGTACACACACACACACAGCCACACCATCAAAATAACCAGCATCGTGTTGGAGTTCAAGTTGTCTGTGGTGCCCTGGGTCCCAGGGAGGGCCAGGCAGGTCCTGGGTGGAGACGGGGGCTGTAAGATATTATTTCCCCATTTTGCTTTTCCTTGCCTCGGGCTGGAACTTGGCGAGGATGGGGAGACATACCATGTACACAGTTGGGGGGGCGAGGCCTCCAGGATCGCCGGCCTGAGGGGGAGTGTGTGGCCAGCGTGTGTCCATTCACCCAACAACCCCAGGGTCCTTGCTGCGGTTCACATGACGGATTCCTTCTCACAGATGGCGGCATCCCCGGCAGGGCCCCGAGAGTGTTTGAGGAGGGGGTTCCCTTCTTCGGAGGGCACGGGCATTGGGTCCAAGGGCATCTCACTCTTCACGTGGCTCAACTCAGGCACCGCGCTCTGCGACTCCTTCCGATCCACATAATTTTGGAGGAGCCCTGCCCCAAAAGCATCGCCTTCCACGTTGAGGACGGTACAGGACCGGTCCCTAAAGGAGGAGGGCCAGGAAGGTGAGTGGGAAGAGGGGAAGAAGGGGCCAAGGCCATCCCACCTCCTTCATGGGAGCCAGTCCTATTGCTCTGGGCCCCAAAGCTCACCCCTCCATCTCCCCAGGATCCCCGATAGCCTTTCCTCCTAGGACCTCAAAGACCTCTTCATCCCGGACCCCACAAATCCCATCCTTCCCATCTTTCCCCTGGAATCCTAAAGTACCATTTACACTTCTTGGCATTCAAACCCCATAGATCTCCTCCTCCAACCCCCATGGACCCCAAGTGACTTTCTATTTTGTTTTAAATTCATGATAGAGTGGGTGCTCACTCGCAGAAGAGTGAGAGAGGAGCACCCTCCATGGAATCCTGCTCACACCGTGGTCCCGTTCCTCCCATCCCCAGCCCATTAGGATCCAAACACTCATGTGTACGCCATGTGCATTTCAGGCTGACTGGGCTAGAGACTCAAACCGCGGTCACCACATGGCACTCAGCTTCTCGTCAGCAGGATATTTCCCTGTACCACGGAGCAGCCCCGAATGGCCCTTTTTCCAACAGCACACAAAACTTGTTCCTTCCAGAACTCAAAAAGTCATCCCTCCCTGCAACGAGGGCCCCCAAAGACCCATCCACCCACCCTTCCATTTCCTCCGTAAAATACTGAAGTTTGGGACCAGCAGACAGTGTAATGGTTATGTCACTGGGCTCTCACGTAGTCAATCAGGGTTCAAGTCCTGGACTGGGTGACTTAAACCTCAGGCCAGGCACGTGTGAGCGAGTGCCCAAAATCCTGAGAGGAGAATGGAAAAGGGACTGGGGTATAGCCATCCCCCCAGGGGATGATTCTCCTGTCTCTCTGATGAGCACATGTGCCCTATAACCCAAAAATCTCTCTCTTAAACAAACAAACGAAACAAAATACTGAGGCTCTCCCCCAGGCCTTTATCCTCTCTAGAACCCGGAGGATCTCATTTTCCTTCTTTATACATTTTGGTATATGTGCTATTTTGTTTTCTTTTTTTTTTTCTGTTTGTCTGGTTTCGTAATTTTTGCTATGAGGCATATGTGCCCCCCAGAGACCAAGAGAGAGAGGGAAAGTGAGAAAGCACACCCAAGGGGGATGGCCACACCACAATCCCTTCTCCTCAGGATTTTGGGCACAAATGGACACACGCCCAGCATGTTTCTCAAACTGCCAATCCAGGACTTGAACCACACAGTTGGGCATGTGGGATCCAGCCGCCACACCATTGACTGGCCGTGTACATGCTGTTTGTTAAATTTGAGGGAAAATTCACAGTTCACACAGCATAATAGTCACCATTTAAAAGTGTACAGCTCAGGGACCAGCAGTTAGCGTAATGACTATGTCGCTAAACTCCCATGTAGTAGACTGTGGTTCGAGCCCCGGACCCGGTGGCTTAAATTCACGCTGGGCACGTGTGCGTGCATGCCCAAGATCCCGAGAGGAGAATGGAGGAGAAGGGATTGCGGCATGGTCATCCCCACTGGGGGGTGATTTCTCGCTTTTTGTCTCTCTCTGTCTTTCTGGCGAGCGCATGCACCCTATAGCCAAAAAAAAAGTGTACAGCTCAGTGGTTTTTGTATACAAGGGAACTTTGAAACATTTGCAGAAAATAGAATTCAAGTTCTAGCTTATTTTGATGCAAAAAAACTTTGACATCTGTGCAGCTTTTTCCAAAAAATGTGTTTTCCATGGACTTTTGGAAGACTCCTCATATTCAGACTTGCACAGCCACCACCACTGTTCAATCCCAGAATATTTCCACCACTCCCAGAATAACCCTCTAGACCCACCACGTCGTCATCTCCCAGTTCTCCCTCTCCTCAAACCCTAGGCAACCACTAAGCTTTTCCGTCTCTATTCGCCTATTCTGGGCACTCTGTATAAATGAAAGCACACACGGTGCCTCTCACACGTAAGAGTTCGCAAGGTGCTGCATAGTGTCTGCATTTACCCACGCGTGTCCCTTTTTATTGCTGAATCATTTTCTTTTGCGAGTCTTTTTCTTTTTTTAGGTTTTTGCCATAAGGGCATAAGGGGTACATGTGCTTGCCAGAGAGACAGTGAGAAGGGTAAGTGAGAAATCTCCACTCGGCAGGGATAGTCATGCTGCAATCCCTTCTCTTCCATTCTTCTTCTTTTTTAAAAAAATTATTTTATTTTATTTTATTTATTATTATTATTTTCTAGTTTTGATCAGAGAGAGACAGATAAAGAGAGAGAGAGAGAAAGTGAAAAAGCAAGTCACCAAGTCAAGGACCTGAACCACAGTCGGCCATAAGTGAGTCCAGCGTCCCCAACTTCTAAGCCTTCTACCGGCCCCTGCTCCATTCTTTTGAGATTTTTGGGCATGCATGTACATGTGCCCAGCATGATTCTTAGGCCTCTAGGTCTGGGACTCAAACCACGGTCAGCCATGTGGAAGCCTACTACCTTAATCACCATGCCACCCGCTGGCCCCATCTGACATGTTCTCTGTCCACGGGTTGGCTGGTGGGTTGTTTCTACCTTTTTGCTGCTGTGAATAATGCTGGGAACGTGTATACACGTTTCTGTGTGGACCTATGATTTCATTCTCTCAGGTATATAATCAGGTCTGGTATTCATGAGACACATAGTAACTCATGTTTAACTTTTGAGGCTAAATTTTTGTCCAATTTTTTTTTTTTTTTTTTTTTGGAGAGGTTTGTGGTATAGGGCACATGCGCTTGCCAGAAAGACAGAGAGAGCCAAAGAGACAGAAAGTGAGAAATCACCCCCCAGGGGGAATGGCCACGCCGCAATCCCTTCTCCATTCTCCTCTCGGGATCTTGGGCACGCATGCACACGTGTCTGGTGTGAGTTTTAAGCCACCGAGTGTGGGACTCAAACTGCGGTCAACTACATGGGAGTCCAGCGACATAGTCATTACGCTAACTGCTGGTCCCTGTCCAGTCTTTATACTCTTAGTAGCTTAATCACAATACTGACCAGTCACGTAACATTCATTACTTCCTGGGTGCCGTTCTAAGGGAGCTGAGTGTATTAAATCATCTCATCCTAAGGAGAGACCGTTCTCCCCATTTCACAGATGGAGAAACTGAGACCCAGGGAGACTGAGTACTTGCCTAAGGTCATACTAGTTCTATACGAGCTGGGGTTTAACTGGCAGGCATGGCCTTGACTATGAACCACTCAGGGTCACTACCTTTCTGGGGTTCCTCTTGGAATCGCAAAGATACCAGCCCCCCTCTTACTGGAATGATCACGGTACCACCTTCTCCTTCTAAAACTCCTCCCTTCTTTCCCCTTCCTCCCAGAGGTGCTCAGTGACTCCTCTTCATCTCCTTTCCCAGGGGGCTCCCGAAAAGGGTACCTCTCCCTGCCCCCAGGCCCCAAGCCCACACTCACACTAGCCAGTCCACAGCCAAGATCAGGGAGATGTAGTGGACCGGGAGGCTGACGGATTCCAGAATGATGGTCAGAGTGAGGACACCTCCGGCAGGGATGCCTGCGGCCCCCACACTGGACGCCGTGGCCGTGACCCTAGGGGAGGAGAGGGGAGGTCAGCAGATGGCTTCTCTGTGTACTGGGAGACCACAGGGGTCAGGCGGCCCGGGCCCTTGGGCACTCACAGGATGGTGATGATCTTCACGAAGTCCAGGGATTGCCGGCTGAGCTGAGCAATGAACACGGCGGCCACGCACTGGAAGAGCGCTGCGCCATCCATGTTGACTGTGGCACCGATGGGCAGGATGAAGCGGCTGATGTGCGTGGCCACGCGGTTGTTCTCCTCCACGCACTTCATCATCAGCGGTAGCGTGGCCGAGCTGCGAGGGCCCAGGGAGGGGTCAGCGCCTGTGCCTGCCGAGCCCCGCCCGCCTGCCGAGCCCCGCCCACTCAGGCCATCTCCAGCCAAAGCTCCACCCACCTGACCAAACTCCTCCTCCTCTCCCTTCCCTGCCCACCACCTCCAGGCTCCACCCACAGCCCTCTCCAGCCCTCTAAGCCCTCTGCTCCCCATAAAATGCCAGGATTCCAAAATGTATGAATCTTGAGCTTCCTGAGGAAAGAATATATAAGCTTCTAACCCTCAGAACACCTGCAACAGTTCACACCCAAATTCTGCAACGTCTGGCCACAACCTGAGAATTACTACGCTGTGGCCTAAAGGTCAGATCCTGGGGAGACTGGGCCAGCAAAGACGGACGAAATACTCAGGAGAAGAGGTGGAAGAGGCTCCCTGAGGCTGGATCCAGGGGAGAACGTAAAAGTTCCCCACGGCGGGAACCAGCAGTTAGCCTAATGGCTATGTCGCTGGACTCCCACGTAGTCGACCGCGGTTCGTGTCCCGGACCCGGTAGCTTAAAACTCACGCCGGGCGCGTGTGCGTGCGTGCCCAAGATCCTGAGAGGAGAATGGAGGAGAAGGGATTGCGGCGTGACCATCCCCCCCTGGGGGGTGATTTCTCGCTTTCTGTCTCTATGTCTCTCTCTGTCTGTCTGGCGAGCGCACGTGCCCTACAGTGAAAATCTCTCCAAAAAAAAAAAAAAAAAAGTTCCCCACGGCCAGGCCTGGTCTTGGCAGGGAGGAGGTGACAGGTGGGGAGGGAATTCTAAAAAAGGAAGAAAAATCCCTAAGGCACTGGTTTCCACATTTTTTAAAGACAAAGGAAAAGGAAAAAACGGGTGACATCTAGGACCTTAGGAGATATTCAAGACAGCAGGGCCCCTGTACCCAGAGCAATGTCCCTAAACAAAAGATTCCAGCAGTCTTCAGATACCCGATGCCCACCCCATGACCCTTGGCCTGCAAACTGCCCCGGCTGAATTACCTGGAGGAGGTCCCAAAGGCGGTGGCCAGTGGCGTCACGATGCCCCACAGGAAGCGATAGGGGTTTTTGCGGGTGAACAGGAAGTAGATGAGGGGCAGCACCAGGAACCCGTGGATGGCGTGGCCCAGCAGACAGCACAGGATGTACTTGCCCAGGCTGGCGAAGAGCATCCCCACGTCTTCCATCTCCACAATCTTGCCGGCCACCAGGAACAGGATGCCCACAGGAGCGTACCTGTCATCAGAGATCTGCCTCTGACCATGTGCCCACATAGCCACTGTGCTCAGCACCTGGCCTGGCCACATTTCCCAGCCTCCCCTGCAGTCAGGAGCCCACGGCAGCGTGCGCGAACATGTGGGCACTGGCCGGGGAGGCCTTCCCTGCTGTCTTCCATGCACCACCCCTTGGAGACAGTGCAGCCAGGAGACCAAAGAAGCTTAGACCTGGGTGAGGACAGGGAGTAGCAGTAATACAACAGGGCCCACATGAGAAATGTCCTGGGTTCGTGTCCCGAGACCATGCTGAGGACACTAGGCGTGTGTGCCAGTCATAAAGGCTAATAGGTGGAGGTATGAAGACCCTGTCGGGGATGCCTCTGCCTCTTTCTTTCATGGGACAAATTTGTAATAATAGGTAAATTAAAATATTTCTACATTTTAGGGGCCAGCAGGTGGTATGGTGGTTGGAGCGCTGGACATTCTCACATGGCTGACCATGGTTCAAGTCCCGAACCTAGTGGCTTGCTTTTTCACCTTCCTTCTCTTTCTCTGGTTAAATTAAAATAAATGAATGAATAAATAAAATAAATACTCAAAAAAAAAAAAAAAAACCCTGGGAACCAGCAGTTAGCATAATGGCTGGCGCTGGACTCCCACGTAGTCGACCGCGGTTCGCGTCCTGGGCCCGGTGGCTTAGAACTCACGCCAGGTGCATGTGTGTGCGTGCCCAAGATCCCGAGAGGAGAATGGAGGAGAAGGGATTGCGGCGTGACCATCCCTCCAGGGGGTGATTTCTCACTTTCTGTCTCTATGTCTCTCTCTGTCTGGTGAGCACCCGCGCCCTATAGCGAAAACCTCTCAAAAAACAAACAAACAAACAAAATACCTTAGCTACTGCCACTATTATTTAAAAAATTTTTTTCTACATTTCATTGAAAATAAGGGGAGGGGGCAGAGCCTTTTAGCCTGGGGGTTAAGAAAGCTGGATCCCACATGGTCAACCGCAGTCCAATCCTGGTCCTGTCCCTTGAAAAACACAGCAGGTGCACGGGCATGGATGCCCCCAAATCCAGACAGGATGGAGAAATGGAGGAGAAAGGATTATGGTGTGACCACGTTCCACTGGGGGCTGCTTTCTCACTCCCTGTCCCTCTCTCTGGCTCTCTGGTGAGGACACGTGCCCTCTGGCAATGAAACAAAGCAAGAGGGGGTAAGCCTGGGCTGGTCAGCCTTGCTTGGAGGGAAGTCGCCAGATTTGAACCCAACACTGGAGTGGAAAGACAACATCCAACACACGTGCTCATCACGTCTCCTGGGCTGTCCGTTACCAATAGCTGCTTTGCCTTGAAAACATATGCTCTCTTGGGAACCAGCAGTTAGCGTAATGGCTATGTCGCTGGACTCCCACGTAGTCGACCGCGGTTCGCGTCCCGGACCTGGTGGCTTAAAACTCACGCTGGGCGCGTGTGCGTGCGTGCCCAAGATCCCGAGAGGAGAATGGAGGAGAAGGGATTGCGGCGTGACCATCCCCCCTAGGGGGTGATTTCTCGCTTTCTGTCTCTATGTCTCTGTCTGTCTGTCTGGCGAGTGCACGCGCCCTATAGCGAAAAACCTCTCCAAAAAAAAAAGAAGAAAACATATGCTCTCAGCACCTCATGAAAGATAGAAAGGCCACAGCTCAGGTCTTAGCAACTCTGGGTGACAGACTTTTACGATGTGCTGAGCTCTTCAACGTAATTGAATCCTCCCAGCAAGCCCACAAAGGAGCTTTCATTGCGAGTCTCCTTCCGCCATCGTAGAAGGGAACATCCAGTAGGTCTCTGAGACGGTAGTCATGCCACCAACCCCACAGGGATGTTGGAAGATAAAATGCCAATAGCTTCTTGTACACAGCATGTGCCCTATATACTTCAGGTCGGGGAACCAGCACATGGCGTAATGGTTATGTCGCTGGACTCCCACATAGTCAACTGTGGTTCAAGTCCTGGACCCAGCAGTTTAAAACTCACGGCAGAAGCATGTGCATGCATGTCAAGTATCCGAGAAGAGAATAGAGGAGAAGGGATTGTGGTGTGACCATCCCCCCTGTGGGGTAATTTCTCGCTTTCTGTCTGTCTCCCTGGAGAGTGCATGCGCCCCATAGCAAAAATATTTCTCATTAGAAAAAAAAAAAAGCAAACTTCAGATGGGTTGTTATCACCCTCTCCTGGGATGAAGATCCCAGGGGTGTTCATCCCTCTCAACCAGGAGCCCCCTGCCAAAATCACGTCTCTGTCTGCGTGATTGCTGTGGCTACCCCCCCCTCTGCCGCTCTTCACAGAAGCAACCAGTTCCTCGACACCTGTGCAGGTAGGCGTGGCCGGGCGCACAGCTTCTGGCCAGTGGGCTGTGCCCAGCAGTCGTGCAAGTCAAAGGCTCGATAAATAGTAGCTATCGTTATCGATCAAAGGCACACTGGAACTCCCACATATTAACTCATTTGGGACCAACTAAAAATATAAACAGTATAGTATATACTAGTAACCTCATCTTCCAGGTGGGGAGACTGAGGCACCAGAGGGTACATTGCTTAGAGGAGGGTACACGCTGCAGCCAGGAGGGGAACTTGGCTGCCCTGGCTGCAGAGTCCACTCTTCCCCACAGCACACCTCCCGGCCTCTCCAGCAAGGCACGCTCGATTCCACCACGCACGCCCAGGGGCAGCAGGGGCAGTCTTAATAGCTTTATAGACGTTGGCTGCACTGGAATGGGGGGTGGGGGGTGGCTAAAAGGGAAGGGGCAGCAGCCGGGTCAGCCTGTGATCTGGGGGTTATGTGAGCTGGATCCCACATAGCCAACTGCATGGTTTGAGTCCTGGACTTGGAAGCCTGAAAAACATACCAGACACACATGCATGTGTGCCCCAAATCCTAAAAGGAGGAAGAAACGGAGCAGAAGGGGTTCAGGCGTGGCCATTGCCCCTGCGGTGCTTTCTTGCCTGTTCTCTGTCTCTCTCTGTCTGTCTGGCGAGTGCACGCACCCTATAGTGAAAACCTCTCCAAAATAAGTAAATAAATAAATAAATAAAGTTAAATAAAATAATTCTTTTTTCTTTTTTTTTTTTTGAGAGGTTTTTGCTATAGGGCGCGTGCGCTCGCCAGACAGAGAGAGACAGAGAGACAGAAAGCGAGAAATCACCCCCCAGGGGGAATGGCCATGCCACAGTCCCTTCCCCTTCATTCTCCTCTCGGGATCTTGGGCACGTACGCACTCCCGGCATGAGTTTAAGCCTCCGGGTCCAGGACTTGAACTGCGGTCGACTACGTGGGAGTCCATCGACATAGCCATTACACTAACTGCTGGTCTCCATAAAATAATTCTTTAAAAAAAATACTACTGGGGCTGGCAAGTGGCATGGTGGTTAAAGGCACCAGATTCCCACGTGGCCCCAACTCTGGTCCGAGTCCTAGACCTGGAGGC